CCGTCTAACAACTTTTAGGGTACACATGATTCTTCCAACATATTGTTGTTTCTTTTTTTCTTTTTCTTTTTTCCTTCTAGAATGACAAAGCACTTTTGTCATGTGCCCAATCATGAAATTCTGTCATTAATCCTTCCAATGGTATTAGTTAAACTTTCAACAACTATTGGTGGACATCAACAATCTACTTTCTAACAATAAGCGGCCTAGGCATATGACCATGAACTTGTTCCTGAAGAAGGTACCTAACAATACCCATGACCACGAAATGGAGGCTGGCCTAAGTAGATTGGGGTCAATGAGGGTGTGAGTGAGCATGCGACTTTGGAGTGGATAGATTCAGATCAAGAATGGAACATTTAAAAGACAAAATGGCTTAGAAAGTAGGAGGGTATTAAAAGATAGCTTAATCAGTATTATAAATGGCATCATACTTTTAGGACATTTATACCTTGATATGAACATCTAGAACAATGTACAACTGAATAATTTAGAAGCAAAAACTGATGTTATAATATGTGTAAAGACTTCAAAAAGGAATAAGTTGCTATCATTAAATTTCCAAACAATTGCAAGACATTTCAAACACTGAACCTAAAGTTAATTATGATATTAAATAAATAGAAAGAACTTTTGATATAAACAAATTAATAAAAAGAACTAACCAAAGAAGGTCTCAGCCTTCCTTTCTTTCTTTCTTTTAATCGGGAAAAGGACATACCTTTATCTGTGCTAACAGGGAGACTTCCTGAAGAAGTTCTAGCAGCAGTGGGTTCTTTCCTTTTACCCTTTCGGAGGCAAAACACAATCACAAGCATTGCAAAGAAGACCACCAACGAAGAACCTAGAGCTATGCCTATAATCAGACCAGCTGCTAGTGCCTTTTTATTTCCATTGTCTGGATTGGACGATTGACCACCAGATCCCTGTGGTGATTCTGCCCCTGGAGGAGAATGACTTCGATTATTATGTGGTCTACCTGGGGGAGGCAAGGTATATGGTGGTGAAGGAGGAGCAGGACCATTATCAAATGAATTTCCGTCATATCTGTTTATTTAAAATACTAGATTAGACATATTGGAGAAGTCCTAAAATATAACACAAACAGGCATGATATTATATTGCATGCATCACTTACATAAATCTAGGGATAGAAATAAGCTCTCTTGGTATCCACCCGCTGAAATGGTTGTTTGCAACATTTCTATGGAAAATTCAAGGCATGAGAATAATAGGGCCGGTGAGAAATATAAAATTCAAGGCCTAGAGTTAGGGAATGAACTTACAAATCTGTCAAAGGTAAATTAGCCAGAACATTAAGAGAACCAGTTAATTGGTTGTTCTGCACATGATTGCCAAAAATCAAGAAACCAGCAGAAGTTCAAAAAAACTGAACTGAACCCTAAAAATAAAATATCAACTATAAATTAGCACTTCATTACACTCACAGAGTAGAAATATTGGTCAATGCAATAAATGAACTGGGAAGATCACTGGTAAAGTTGTTGAAAGAGAGATCCCTACAATGCAATACATAAACATTAATTTAATTTAAAAAAAAAAACTAAGGAGATATTTTGTTGGTAGTATATATCAGAAATTGGAACTGCTCTTCATAGGGTACACACAACTGACATTCACCCACATAGAAAGAAATCATGACTAAAAATTGTAAATGTCAATCTTATATTGTTCGTTTTGTTTTTTCATAAATCAGATTTGCAGTCTGTAAGTAAAACTTTCATGGGGTCCCCCAAGTTATTTTGTCCATTAAAAATAGCAAGTTATTGTGGTTTGCATTAAGATTTTACAATTTTATAAATCTTTTCTTTCCTTTCTTTTTTTGGTTCTAATAAAAGTTAATTGAAAAAAACTACTTCACAACTTTTATTTTTTTTAAAAGTGGAGTTTGATCATGAGTCTATATTTATTCCATTTACTTGATTTTTTATGCAAATGATGTACTCAACGAATCCTATAATATAAATCATTCAATTCATGAAAATATGATCCGAACAAATTGTCACGCCCTCAAAAATATACCCATTATATATATCATTGACATGCATTATTTAAGGAAAACACTTTAATAATTCATTATAATATCCATCAGAGTCTTACTAAACAAAAGCATTACATGTAACATCAAAGTAAATGCCCTACCGGCTTACATCTTTCCAAGCCAACACTTGGACACAAAGTGTGAGTTCTAACTCAAATATAAATAAAGCCCTAGGCTTGAGTGTTTACATGTACTAACAACGAAAAACAAATAACTAAAAACAGTCTTCAATCGCTATATTTAAATGTCAAGCTTAGCACAATTAAAAAGAAAAGAAAAGGCTATGGCAGCGTTTTTTAAACGTCCCTATATCCCAGCCCCAACGGTTGGATTTTTAAAATGTATAAATATCTATGACGGCGTTTCAAAAGCGTCGCTAAATATCATAGTGACGTCATAGTACCGTTAGGGTAGGACATTGGGCGGCGTTTATTTTTCATGATTTCAAAAATAAAACTAATCATTTTTACTATTATGCAAAAACAGTTTTGAAAAATTCAAATAACAACATTAAAGTTTCTTATAAAAAGTATACTTCAAAAAAAAAAAATGTTGTCTGTTTTCGTTTTTTCTATTTTCGAGAATACAAAACATTAAAATAAAACAATACCAAAGTGTTTTAGCTTGTGTCTATTCATTTTTCTCTAGGAACCATGCAAGAAAAATAATGTTTTGAAAAATTCCTATGCATTCTTCCTTGAAACCCAACTAGGTTGCAAACGAACCGAATCAAAATTTTCAATGTTTAAGCTCGTTTATTAAGAATTAGTCGAACTCGAGCTTGAGCAAGTTTTAGTCGAGCTTCAAAAATCGAACTCAAGCTCAGCTCGTCAAATATTTGTTGAACTCGAGCTCGCTCAATTACATAAACGAGCCAAGTTCAAACTCGAACTTAAAAATGAATTAAATTTAAATTAATTTACTTATTAAAATTAAAAAAATACAAAATTATTATTAAAATATATAATAATACTTATATTAATAATAAATTTCAATTCGTTAGCAACCCTAAACCCAGCCCAACCAAACCCCAGTAAGAAATTTTTGCTTCTCATTTTTTTTTTTTAAAATTAACTTTTTCCTTTCCTTAACAAATTCAAGAACCAAAAAAGATATCACAATTCAGGCTTCTCTAATCTTCCGTGGCTATATTATCTCAATCACTTCACAAAATAATTATATGTATCCCATACCTAAAATAAACGTAAAAGAGATAAAATATGGATAACAAAAACACATTTAACAAATTCCCGGTCAAGAGTAAATTTAGATACTTCGCAAAATCTGCTGTCAAGAATGGCAGAGGCAGCTACTTCTATAAATTAGAACAATACAGTGTGTGATACCAAATGATAGTTTGGCCATTTTCAAGAGAATATTTTATGGGAAAAAACGATCGAATAATGACCTTCAATTGTCTATATGCACTTGCTGTTGTGCATTTGCTTCAAAAATGAGCAAAAACACTAAACAAAATGGCTTTATAGCCTTTGCTAGTGCAACTGTGGTCTAAAATTTATATTAAAACCTTACACATATATACATCTTAAAGAATTGATCCATCAACGATATTAAAACCGCACACATATATACATCTTGAAGTGTCTTTTGATGAACCTGGACGGAAGATCAACAATATTGAAAAGCAAGTTACTATTGCAAGGCAGTGTAGGATTTCTTACAACCTCGTTTGGTGAATGATAATTCCTTACAAAATTCTTTCTTCAAGGAAAAAAAGAAGTGTGCATACAAAATATGAACTTCCATACAGCAAAACAAATATCTATCAACCATCATTTAAGAGTATTTATACAAAATACTAACAGATTTAAGTCCTCAAAATTTTTTTTTTAAAAAAATCTTAGTTTAGCTTCCAATATCACCCGCTCGATCATATCAACTATTACCCACAGCAACACCTGCAGAAACAAATTATATTGTCGTTAAGGTTTGTTCACTTGAAATCTATGATTTAAATCATAACAAATTGAATTTTGATATATTGGTCATTACACACTCTTTTGTCATTTTCTGTTCGTAAATTATTTATTTCCATAATCAAGTTGTAAACATCATAATCAGTTATGACATCTAAATGTTCTAGCTAAAATCTATCTTGACATATCAAGAAATTAGAATTAAGCAGCCACACATAAAATTTGCAAAGCAAATGTAAACAAAATGAACATAATTTGAACTGAAAAGATGCCATAAAAGTAATCACCTAAAGACGTATCCGCATCAGTGAACGCTGAATTTTGGACAACTTGTGCATCGCAACTACGCAAGTCATTAACATCCTTGCTCAACTGCATTGGAGACGTATCCACATTAGTGACAAAAAGTCGTCTCTTCACAGGGTGGATCTTACATGGCCTCATATTATTCCTGGGACGCTTCGGTGTAAAAGGGGTGGGAGTACCAATTGGATCATAATCATCGTATTCCTCAAACAAATTGCTACCCACTTGTCCCGTTTTATGATCGTTTTGGGGGCAAGTTCTCCTCGTGTGGCTGACGACCCTACATTGTCAAGTAAATCACCAATCATTAAAGAGAACAAAAATGCCAAGACTACCTCACAATAAAAAAATTAAGACACAAAGCACAATATAATGTATACCTGCAACATTGGCATCGCCTTGGCTTTCGAGGTTTAGCCATGTAGGATCCCGCAGTATTCCCCTTCGTGTTCACTACTTTCGGATCCCCAACCCCAAATGGCGGTAGTGAACTTTTTCCTTCATCAACATTAGTTCCCTTGGCCATGCAAAGCTGCTTTATCCGACATGTCATAGTGAAAAATGCATTCCTAGCCTCTTCAAATCCTTCAGATGTTTGTGAGGCATAGTAACACATTTCAGTAAAAAAGGAGCAAAGAACCCCAAAGAGTGTCTCCTGTGTGAGAGTGCTAGAGAATCGGGCTTGGCAATGTTGTTCACCAACCTTTCTTGCTTGCTTTGTCCAACGATGCATCACACAACCTGGGGGAATTTCAGTCATATGTTCACATTTCATCACAGAAATCATATGGTTGCCAGGAAGTCCAAAGAACTCAAACTTTTTGCAACTACATTTCATTATGCTAGTTGCGGGATGGTACGACACTTCCCATGTGGAACCAAATTCAGTGTACTTTGAAAATTTGTATATGCGATGATCGAACTCCTCTTTCCTTCCATCAAAAATCAACAATGCTTCCTCAATTATTTCATTACGGAACATTAAGAACAAACGCCTGGTAAAGATGGTTGCTGCATGTTTCTCTAGAGGCTGAAGTGCTGTGGTAAGACAAGGATCACTGTTGTCAGTTTTTGCCTCGGCATCCGCTTCTTTGTTCCGTAACCGATAAAGGGCCATGTCAAAACATCTAACAAATTCGAATAGTTTCAGTTTTCGTTTGAGGTGCTCATTGAAAAAAGCATGCATACCCTCACAACGCTGACTGCTCTTCATTCCAGCAAAAAAATGACCACGCAAATATGACTGAGCCCACATGCCTTTGTTGTTGTAGGTGTCTGATACCCACTTGTTATTTTGAAGGCCATATTTTCTAACCATCTTACTCCAAGCTTCCTCAAATACAACCTCATTCGCATCAAGATCCATGAGATGCTTGAAATGTCCCTCGAATCCATCAACTCGAACATTTCGCTTGGCATTTCTGTGCATATGCCAATTACATAGACGATGCTTGGCACTTGGGAAGACTTTTTGTATTGCCTCATGCATGGCCATATCCCCATCTGTCAACACTGACACCGGTCTTTTGTTATCCATGGCCTCTAACAACTTCTGCAAAACCCATGTGTATGTTGCAATTGTCTCATCAACAAGCAAGCTGCATGCAAATATGGTGGTTTCAAAATGGTTATTGACCTCGGCGAAAATAACAAAAGGTTTGTTATATGCATTCGTTTTATAAGTTGTATCGAAGACCAACACGTCACCAAATGCAACATAGTCTAGGCGAGACCTTGAATCTGCCCAAAACAATTTGTCAAGCCGATTCTCTTGATCCTTGTCATACTTGTAAAAGAAGTAAAGGTCAGCATCAGCTTTTGCACATAAGTAAGCCAAAGCACACTCCGCATCATCATCCTTCATTTTTACTTTGCACTCGGCTTGAATATAATTGTGCAAATCCTTGTGAATAAAGCCCACGTTCGCGAAAGACCCAGATTGTTGCACCAACAAATCCATTATCTGGCTTGTCTTGACACCAACATTGTGCAAAGTCTTTACTTGAGCTTTGTCGGGGATCTTTACAAACCTATGCGACCGAAGAAATGGCACACATGGTGATGTTGCCAATGGATGGTTATGTTCCATGTTAAAGTGAGTGACAATGTATTTTCCTACATCCAGATTGTACCTTATGCGGAAATGAGCATCACAACCAACTCTAGTCAATGCCCTGGCAGCTCTTTTTCGATCAATACAGGCCAAGTGTTGCTTTGCTCTTTGGCCTTGCCTTGAGCATACCCATTTTCTACTAAGTGCCTGTTTGGCAGACATTATTTACAGCTTATTTCAGCTTTCAGTTTAATTTAAGTTATTTTGATGTGTTTGGTTTAGCTTATAGCTTATAGCTTTGGCCTACATCCAGATTGTACCTTATGCGGAAATGAGCATCACAACCAACTCTAGTCAATGCCCTGGCAGCTCTTTTTCGATCAATACGGGCCAAGTGTTGCTTTGCTCTTTGGCCTTGCCTTGAGCATACCCATTTTCTACTAAGAACCTTTGTTGCCTGCATTGTTCGCGTGTCTTTCCTAATGCTAAATCCCACAACTTTAGCATATTGATTATAGAAATCATTGGCATCCTCTTCTGAATTGAATTGCATTTCAAGAACATCATTCTTGGTTAAACTTTGAATAGGGTCATTTGCATGGGAACCTAATTCTTCTTTATTCCCACAAACTTCGTCATCTTCAAGCTTGTGCTCAAATTTGGTACATCCAAAAGGATCCATGATAACTACATCAAAAACAATACGAAAAGAATAACATTATCTTATAAAATGAATGAAAATTCCTAAAATCACATAAGAGAATTTTGCAAAAGAGCAAATAACAGACAAAAACAATAGTAGAATAATGTACATAGATTTAATGACATAGTTATTGAAAATCAAAATAAATAGAGAATGATTCTGTAATCAATAATCAAAATATTGGTTGATCAATAGAAACACAATAAAATAGAAACAAAGAAAAGGAAAAAGCAAATAAATAAAAATATATGGAGACTCATTAAGGCAATTCATTTGGGTTCTTTGGTATTTTTCTTAATTGACTTGGGTTATTTTTAGGTATTTGGATTGCTCTAAAACACACCTGCAAGTATAACGTTATACACTGTCCAACTTATAGCAAATAACTAATCAAACTTATAACTTTATAGCAAAGAATTAATAAAACAAATAAAAATAAAATGAATTTTATTTCGACTGTATATAATGTTAGTAATTAGAATTCACAGAATTTTTTTGACTTATCCTCCTTGTATAAGTTAAGATCTATTCTTCAATATCACGGAACGTCTTTTTTTCTTAAGACTTCAATAAAAGATTATTTTGGAAAACAAGGAATGATTCATTATGAATTAAGACCTAAGAAACTTCAGAATTTTGGACTAAATCAATGGCCAGTGCCCTGCTATCAATTAAAAGAAACAAATAAATAAAAAAAGACAGCACAAATAAATAAAATAGCACACCCGCCAGTGCCCTACTATCAATTAAAAGAAACAAATAAATAAAAAAAAGACAGCACAAATAAATAAAATAGCACACCCGCCAGTGCCCTGCTATTAATTAAAAGCAAATAAATTAAAAAACACACCTGCTAAGGCAACCGCTAGAGACGAAAAGATGGAGGAGGTATAGCTTTACTTCTACGTTAAGATGGAGAAATTGAGGACCTATAACAAACAAAAACAGAACATTGAAATAGACTCAGTAAAGAAGACAATACGTAAGGAAATTAATGATTGTGGGGAGAAAACAAAGAATCTATGTACGAAAAATATTATTTTGCACATCTTCTGACATTAACAAACTGCATAAACAATAACAAAGATGAAAGTCTACTACCTTTGTTCAAAGTCTCAATAACCATTACATAAATAAACACTTAAACAAATGTACCACAACCAACCGTTTGACCACTTCAACAAAAAATTAAACAAAAATATATACAAAAAAAAATTAAATAAACAAATGTTCTTATAATTACATTCAACACACATTTTCCCTTTCCCTTTCCCTTTCCCTTTCCATTTCCATTTCCAAATCCCTAGCTAAATCTATGATCCAAACATAACATTAATGCTGTGTTTGGTTAGGGGATTTGGGGAGGGATTTGGAAAGGGAAAGGGAAAAGCTGTGTGAAATTATGTGAAATATAGGTATGATTTATTCACATTTCACCTACCTTTTCCATTTCCCTTTCCAAATCCCTCCCCAAATCCCCCAACCAAACACAGCATAAGGAAATATGATGGTTTCAACGTTATAGAAAGCAAAGCACATTCACATAATTTTTGTAACGCCCTCAAAATAACAACATTAAACCCATCAATATAGACATGCATTGATATATAAAAGTTCCACATTCTTCCACTTATCAGAGTTTCATTACAAAAAGTATTACATGTTAACGACAAAATCAAATGCCCTAAAGGCTTACAGCTTTCCAAGTTAACACTTGGTTACAACAAAAGAGTACTAACTCATTTACACATTAAGCCCTTGGCTTGAATTTACATGTAATACATCAAAAATAAAATGACAAAAGTATGTCCGCCTCTAGCCTCCCAAGCTATGTCCTTGGAGGTGGCATGCTACCTGTACCTGAAAATGATATTCCCATATAGGGTGAGCCACAACCCAGTAGAAATACACTAAACCAACCATGAACAATGACTAAAAGATTAGCAACTGATAGACGGTCAACACTGACACTTCCATTTACATCTCCCTACGTTACCATGACAGCCAAGTCTATATTACAATTCACTTTTCATTTTTGTTCAACTTTGAGTTTGAAAACAAGGCTCAGTACTCTGGCCAGAACGTTTGATGAGATTATAGTTCATCACTAGAACACTTTCGAAATCCAAGGTGGATACACATTATGGTGTTGTACCAATAACACATAAACTACTCCCATACTTCACAAACAATGATGATATACATTTGAGTGCTATATCAAATCAAACAAACTTTTCAATAGATAAGCATATGAGCTATATCAACATTCCAACAACCGGTTTAGAGGTACATCCCCCATCTTCCCCTAAACAGCATTCTGTAACAAACAGATAGAAATACAATCTAAATAACACACTCATGTAATCAATTTAGGATTTTATCTTAATCAATTACTTATCATGGTTAATCACAAATTAACGCTAATCAGAGGTGAGGGTTGTCACAAGCTTAATTTTGTCATTTAAAAAAAAATCAAATTAAATAATTTTTGAATAAAAAAAAGTAATGAAATAGTTTTGATAATGCATGGTTTTCTTATATGTATTTATTATTGGTAT